TCGCCTCAACACAATGCCAATCTTAGGGATTCCCTTGGTTTTTCAGGTCGCATCCCTAAGATTGTCATCGCCTTTTGGCGTGTCAATCTTAGGAATAGGGATAAGTTCGAGGCTGGTGATTCGTGGCATCCCAAATGACCAAGATGCCATCCAAGCTGGCTCAAGCCGGGCTCCAACACGCCGAGGGGTCCTCAGAGGCGACCAAGATGGCCTCAAGACTGCCGAGGAGGCTTCGAAGACGCCCCAGAGGAGCCAGAAGACGATCCCCAAGATGGCCCCAAGAAGCAAAAGTTGCCCCACTCCCATGAGAGAGTATACATTTTTGGCACATCGGCATGTTTGTTTTACCAGCGTCCAGGACGGCTCCAGAGGCCTCCAAAGATCGCTCCAAGACGGCCGAAGAAGTGAGGCGCCCAAGATGGCCCAAAAGGGGCCCCGCAGGGCCCCAAGAGGGGCCCGAGAGAAGCAACTCGAGACATTCCCAGCCCCCATCTTGGGGCTCTGTGGGGCCCTCCTTGGGCCGTCTTGGGGCGCATTTGGGCCGTCGTGTGACGCTCGTAGGCCGTTTTGAGGCCATCTTGGAAGCCTCTTGGGACGTATTGGGGCGATCTCGGAGGCCCCTAGGGCCGTCTTTGCTCGTTCTTGGCCCAAAATGGGCAAAACCCGAAAATCCTTCAGAAGTCTAGAATAAGCTGTTGTTTTTGCTTTCCCCAAGCACCTTAGGAATCCTCTTGGGGGCATTTTGGGGCGTCCTGGGGGACCTCTTGGGCCGTGACGAGGCCATGAGGAGCCGCGCTCTTGCACGACTTCGGGTCCTTTTGGGTCTCTCGGAGACCGTCTTGGGAGCATCTTTGGCCGTCTTGGAAGTCATTTGGGCCATCTTACGGCCTCCACGGCCGAAGAAGCCGCCAACATCTGAGCCGGTACGGGAACGGAAAGAGCGGTTCCGTGTAGCTTGCCCGACGGTGCTCATGATGGCACATCCGCTCTTGGGAGCCTTGGCGTGAAGGCCTCTTCGAATGCTCTTCGAACGCGCGTCGGCCCTCTTCCTGTTCTCTTTTTCTGTCTCTCTCTCTCTCTCTCTGTCTCTCTTTCTTTTTGTCTCTCTCTCTCTCTTTCTCTCTCTGTTTCTCTCTCTCCCTCTCTCTGTTTCTCTCTCTCTCTCTCTCTCGTACATTCATACATGCGCACATATACATATACACACATGCACATATATATATATGTATGTATACATATGTATATATATATATGTATATGTATATATATACATACCTATGTACATACATACCTGCATGCATGCATGTGCGTATACATACCTACATACATACATAAATACAGACATGCCTACATCAGTACGTATGTACGTGCTTACGTACATACATCCATGCATGCATGCATGCATGCACACATACATATATACATACGAACACATGTGAACCATATACATGCCTGTACACACATATACATATAGCTGTGTAACCATAGATGCTCACACCTGGATATAGTGTATATATGTGTGTAAACCTGTACGTGTGTATACATATCCGCTGGACCCCTCCGGGGGCGCAACTGCGAAGGTGTGTGTGTGTGTGCGGTCTGCTGTCATGTGTTCTGTGTTGTCATTTGTTGTTTGGCCTTTTGTCTCTCCAGTCCTGTTTCCTGCCTCCTGTTTACTGTCTGATAAAGGGGCCCCGCCGCGCCACCAAGCAGCCAACTGGGGGGTGTGAACCTCAAATCCAGGCTGCTCCGGGCCACTCAAGCATTCTCATGGTGACGCCACCGCGCGGCCAAACAGCCCGAGAGGCCTCCAAGATTGCCCGACGATGCTCCGAAGAGCCTCAGGAGGTCAAGACGGCCCAAGATGGCCCCAAGATGTCCCACGATGGCCCCAAGACGGCCCAAGATGCTCCCAAGACGGCCCACGAGGCCTCCATTGGGCCTCCCAAGAGGGCCCCACGAAGCAAAAATCAACGATTTTCTTAACGTTTTTGAAGGTTTTTGGCCATCTCGCCTTTTCGGCTTTCCGACGCTCCAAGACGGACCAAGAGGTTCCCAAGATCGCCCCACAACGGCCCCAAAGCCTCCATGACGGCCCAGGAGACCCCCAAGACGGCCGAAGATGGCCCCAAGACGGCCGAAGAGGGCCCCAAGACGGTCCAAGAAGCGCCCCAGACGGCCCAGAAGGGCCCTAAGACGGTCCCAAGAGAGGCCCAAGAGGGAGTCCACGAACCGAAAACTCAACCTTTCCGCCCCGAGAGGGCCCCAGGAGGCCCCAAGAAGGTCCCCACAGGCCCGAAGAGGCCCCCAAGAGGCCCCCAAGAGGCCCCAACGAGACCCCCAAGAAACCCAAAATATTTCCAAGAGGCCCCGAGGAGACCCCCAAGAGGCCCCCAGGAGACCCCCAAGAGGCCCCCAAGAGACCCCAAGGAGACCCCAGCGCAGCCGCCCGCACTAGTGATAGGGGGGCTGGCGGCAGAGGGCGAAGCCCTTCAGATAT